TCTCGTTGACCCCCAACAAAAATCTCTCCCATTTTTTTGTAGTATTGCAACCTTTTTGTAAGCATATTTGTACCCTTCACAACAACACTTCCTTGAGCCTTTTTTTTGGCCAAAAAAAAGTGCGACAGTTTTTATGGGGTTTGAAAAACAACCTGGCCAGCTCGAGACACGCACTCCACTTTCCTATTTTGCAATCTCTTTCTTGAATTCAAAAAAAATTTTCTCACCCTCTTTACCACAGGGCGGCACTATAAGCTTTTTTTTTGGGGCCCTTTTGTGATTATTTAGTGGTTACAAGCACTAAAACATGGAAAAAATACAAAACGTATCGCATGTATGCGTGAATCGTCCTCCTGGCTTGTAAACATTGGCACACTGGCTTACATGGAGTAAACCCGGGCTGCTCAGGCCACAGGGACACGTTCGGGGCGAATGTTTAAAAAAACCAAATTTCTTTGTCATTAACTGAGGCCAATATTGTGACAAAAATGCTCTTATCTTTTTTTACGTTATCCAATGACGCGTTAACGGGGGTCCATTGTAAGTGGCCCCCCGGGCATTAAATGGCATCGGTATAATTTTAAACCCCGGTATTCGATACATTTTAACCAAAAATTTGCCTCGCCACTCTTTAAAAAAAAACCCCCGCCCCCCCCGCGATTTGCCCGGGAAAAACGTCCACGTGATGCCAGTGTTTACAACCAGCCAGTGTGCTCGCATCAAAGCAAACACTCGGTACTTTCCCATATTATCGGTTTTTTGGTGTTGTTTCTGCAAAGTCACCATGGGCCCCAAAAAAGCTTCAGGCCAACCCCTGTGGTAAAAAGATGAGAATTAGTAGGAAATTAAGGAAATGTGTGCAAGTGGGGTTTAACGAAACCTTTATGGGTGAAAATCACCCCAACACAGCTATTTTCAGCCGTGCTGGTGACATTTTCAATGACAAAGTTGTGGCCCCTTTTTGACAAATCTTTAAAAGGGAAAAGGGGGGTACAACCCCTTGGCAGTTTGTTGTGCAACAAGGGCCATTTACTCTCAAGTGGCCTAGGGGGCATTAAAAAAAAGGGGGAAAGTAAACCCCCGGGAAAAAGGGCTTGCACCTCAAGTCCTAATGGGAAGGGGTTCCCCTTCTAAAAAATTAACAAATTTTTAACACTCTCCCCTCTTCCCATCCCATCAATCATCACCAGATCTTCATTAAAGGTAAGTGTCATGTATTCTATTGTTAGTAGAGTACTACTAACTGTGCATGTCATCTTCAGTTTGTGTGCATTAAACTTAATATTTCATGTGGTAAAACTTTTTTTTTCATAGTACTTTTGGGTGTCTTGCACGGATTAATTTGATTTCCATTATTTCTTATGGGGAAAATTAATTCGCTTTCCGATAATTTTGGCATACGATGAGCTCTCCGGAAAGGATTAATATCGTATACCGGGGGTTCACTGTATTTTCATTTCTAGTGGGATCAATTACCTGTTGATTTAACCCTTTGAGGGTTTCGGCCGTACTAGTACGGCTTACGACCCAGGGTTTTTGACGCACTAGTACGCCTAAATTCTAGCGCCCTCAAATCTAGTGGGAGAAATCTGGTAGGCCTACATATGAAAGAATGGGTCTATGTGATCAGTGTGAACAGTATAAAAAAAATCCTGCAGCACACAGGCCATAATGAGAAAAAAAACTTACCGTTTTTTGGGAATAAAACACCAACTTTGCACTGTATTTTCGTATGGTATTTATTGTTGTATTCTAGTTTTCTTGGTCTCATTTTATAGAATGGAAGACATATTAGAGAAATTGAGATGATTTTGACTGGTTTTACAATGAAAAGTACCTTGAAATTGAGCTCAAAATAGCAGAAACGTTCGATTTTTACCAAAGTTCAAAAGTAAACAAATCATGCCAAGCGTCCAATACACGTCAACTGGTGAGTCTAATACAGTGGACCCCCGCATAGCGACTTTAATCCGTGCAAGAGGGCTGATTGTTATGCGAAATGTTCGGTATGCGAATGAATTTTCCCCCTAAGAAATAATGGAAATCAAATTAATCCGTGCAAGACACCCAAAAGTATGAAAAAAAAAATTTTACCACATGAAATATACATTTTCCTACACACAAAGAGAAGGATACATGCACAATAGTAGAGTAGTACATGCACAATATATATTGTGCATGTACTACTCTACTAAATGAAGAATAAATGACACTTACCTTTATTGAAGATGCAGCAATGACTGAATGAGACACTGTGTCCTGGGAGTGCCTTTTCCTCCTGAGTACTGTAGGTCCTGTTTGGCATTTTCTTCCAGAACAGCCTTATCACACTGTGTATGCCACTACGATTCTTAAATCTCTCAAACCAACCTTTGCTAGCTTTAAATTCACCAATATGAGCACTAGTTCCAGGCATTTTTCCCTGTTCACCTGGGTGTTAGTCGACTGGTGTGGGTTGCATCCTGGGAGACAAGATTAAGGACCCCAATGGAAATAAGTTAGACAGTCTTCGATGACACTGACTTTTTTGGTTATCCTGGGTGGCAAATCCTCTGGGGTTAATTGTTTCTTGGTATTCTCAATAAGCCACACCAACAACGGTGCTACAGCAGCAGCAGCAGCAGCAGCAGCAGCTGACGGTGGTACAGCAGCAACAGACGATGCTACAGCAGCAGCAGACGATGCTACAGCAGCAGCAGACGATGCTACAGCAGCAGCAGACGATGCTACAGCAGCAGCAGACGATGCTACAGCAGCAGCAGACATGCTACACAGCAGCAGCAGACGATGCTACAGCAGCAGCAGACATGCACAGCAGCAGCAAACGATGCAACAGCAGCGGGCAGACGATGCAAAACAGCGCAGCAGACGATGCTAAAAGCAGCAGCAGACGATGCTCCCAAGCAGCAGCAGACTTTGCTACAGCAGCAGCAGACGAGCTACAGCGCAGCAAAACAGCTACAGCAGCAGCAGACGGTACTACAGCAGCAGCAGCAGCTGACGGTGGTGCAGCAGCAGCACACCCTGACGTGTAGCAGCAGCTGACAGTGGTGCAGCAGCAGCAGCAGCAGCTTTTACCACCAATAGTAGCAATGTTGATTGGGGTTTTATTATACAACCTGGCCACTCGGAGACACGCACTCCACTTTCATACTTATCAATGATCTTTTCTTCATTTCTATAGTAATTCTCACCCTTATTGCTGTAGGGTTGGCACTAGAAGCTTTCTTGGGGCCCATGGTCACTTATTTTCCAGAAAAAATCACCAAAAACACTGTAATAATACGAAATGTTCCGATTGTATGCTTGGATGTTACCGCGGAGGCTGGCTGGTAAACAATGCCACCGGCGGAACATGCGAGCGTGGCTCAGGCTGCACATTGGACGCGTCTCGGACGAAGAGCGGTGAGCGGGTTTTTGGGCGGTATGCGAGGCAAAATTTTTGCGAAAAAAGCGGATTGTACGGTATGCGATGCGTGCGGTATGCGGGGGTCCACTGTATTCTTATGCAAGTGCGCCAATATTATTTATACCATTTTTTATACTAATGCAGTAAAAAATAAATCTGCATAACAGTAAATCTTCTATTTTTTGTGAGAATAAAAATTCAAAGTGGAAAGCAAAAGAAAGTAAGAGGGGCCTTGAGATATGACTAATGAACAGACGAAATGTCATTTTAGTGCCAGGAATGTCTTTCTCGTTTATTCTGGACCCTATTCGGAAATTGGCATCTTTTGAAATTTGTGTGAAATTGGCAACATTGCTAAATTCTGACCACTGTACTGGATAGTTGAAATTGGTAAATGGGTGGTTTCTTGCACTCATTCGATAGAAAAAAATGGAGTTCTAGCAAAATATTCATGTTTTTTGTCGACTAGTACAATGGAATTGGCCGAAAATGGGGCTCAAAGTGGGCAAAATCGCTGATGCGTAAACATCGCCGAGACCGGTAACTTCGCGAGAGCATAATTCCGTAAGTTTTCCATCAAATTTCATACTTTTGGTGTCATGATCGGGAAAATATTCTCTATATTTTCATAAGAATTTTTTTTTTTTTAAATTTGGCCGACCCTAAGAACGAGTCTCAGAGAGGGCCTGTCGACCCTCAAAGGGTTAAAAAGAACTTCACAAAGCCTCATTAGTTCCCTGGTATGTGCCTGTTGAGCCAGGGTGCTTCCCAGAGATATTTCTAGTATAACATTATGTCAGAGATCATGGTCATCCTATTGATGGTCTTCTGTTAAAACTGTCTACCCTACATCTAACTTCCAGTCGTCGTTTGGTTGAACCCTCCCTTATACACAACTTTCCTTGTAAGACTCTTAGTCCTGGCTTTCTCTCTGCAGATGACTTCCTTTCCATTACACTGTAAAATGCTCCAAACTTCAGAACACCCGTGACTTAACCTGATTCTTTTTTCCCTTTCTCTCTCTTCCCCTTTCCTCTTTTTCCTTTGGGTTTTCTTTCTTCTGCCTTGGGCATTTATTCTTTCATTATTTCCCCCCCCCCTCTGTGGGCCCCTAGCCCCCTTGCAGTAATCCTCTTTCACAGCATTTGACTGACTACACTACTACTATTACTACTACTACCACCTCTCGTGCTCCAGTCACTGTCTGCTGGCCTATATGTATACACTCCCTCCTCTCCTTTCTGTTAGTGCGTCTCTGTAAATGGTCCAAATCGTACTGACGTCATCGTAAGCTCCTCTTTTCTATGTGCAGGTTATCTGTGTACAGTGGACCCTCGACTAACAATATTAATTGGTACCCGAGAACGAATATCGTTAGTCGAGTTTTTTTATCGTTAGTCGAGGCAACATGTTAGCATTAACATGTATCGTTAGTCGAATTTAACGTTAGACGATGCCATCGTTGGTCGAGGGTCCACTGTACTTGTTTTATGGTAAACAAATGCATTTATTGAACCTAATTTTACGTCACAGAAACCCAAGTAGGAGGCATTAATGCAGAAAAATAAAAAGTTACACAAGAGTAACTTACCAGTTTCTTTCGACATCTTTCAATAGACAGGATCAACAATTTCTGAAATATAAACAAAAAAAAATACAAAATATTAAATAGATTTTAGTCAAATGACAATTTATTTTTATTGAATACTCATACAACAAAAGCATCTGGTGGACACTTGAAATAGAAAGCAAAACTTTCATTTAGCAGTATCTCATCAAAGTAGGCAAAGGTCACAGGAGATTTTTAAAAAATTCCACATTTGGGGACTGTTTATCCATTCTTGAACAGCTATTATGTATTGACTGAGGCACTCTATCCTTTAATAAAGGTCATGGAATAAATGCTATTGAAAAGACCCCCGAAATCCTCTCCAGGTAAACTCCAGGCAAACATGTATTCTACTTAATAAATGCGGAATGCTGATAATGGTATAGACAATGATGTGAAGCCTTAATTAACCTTTTCACTGTCAGTGACGTATAGGTATGGCTTACAAGCCAGTGTTGGTGACATATTAATACTCCAAAATTCCAGCAGTTTCAAATCTAGCAGGAGAAAGCTGGTAGGCCTACACATGAAAGAATGGGTCTGAGTGGTCAGTGTGCGCAGTATAAAAAAAATCCTGCAGTACGCAGTGCACGAGGAAAAAAAAAACTGACCATGTTTTCCGTTTATATTGTTTGCGGTGTATTTTCGTACAGTACTTATGGATATATTCTCCTTTTCTTGGTCTCAGTGGATAGAATGGAAGCTATATTACAGAAATAGAAATGATTTTTAATGGTTTATGTACTAAAAGTACCTTGAAATTGAGCTCAACGAAGGGGAAATGTTCGATTTTTGTCTATGTTCAGGAGTAAACAAATCACGTCAAGCGTCCAATACACATCAACTGGTGGGTCTAATATTCTTTCACAAATGCGCTGATATTATTTATAACATTTTTACATAATGCATAACAGTAAATCTTTTACTTTTTGTGTGAATAAAAATTCAAAAAGGAAAAATAGCATAATATAAGAGGGGCCTGGAGATGTGACTAATGAACAGAGAAAACATTATTTTAGTCCTAGGAATGTTAGCATGGTTATTTCTGAACCCTATTTTCAAACTGGACTTACTCGAATTGTGTACGAAATTTGCCAAATTACGAATTTCTCACTTTATTGGGTAGATGAATCGGTAAATGGGCGGTTTCTTGTAAATGGTTGACTGGTACAATGGAATTGGCCAAAAAAATTGGGCTCAAAGTGAGCAAAATTGCCAATGCATAAACATCGCCGAGACCTCTAACTTTGCGAGAGTGTAATTCCGCAAATTTTCCATTAAATATCAAACTTTTGGTGTCATTACCATCGGGAAAAGATTCCTTATCATTTCATAAGAAAAAATTTTTTTTTTTTAAATTCTTTGACACTGAGAGCAAGTTTATAAGCAGTGACTATGCCCTCCATCTTTTGCCAGTCTAAAAGCAGCAATAACACTACCCACACCTCCACATTAACATAATACAACAACACTACCCATGCCTCAGCCTCAATATTAACATAATACAATACTACTCATGCCTCAGCCTCAATATTAACATAATACAATACTACCCACGCCTCGGCCTCCATATTAACATAATACAACACTATGCCTCGGCCTCCATATTAACATAATACAACAACACTACCCACGCCTCGGCCTCCATATTAACATAATACAACACTACCCACACCTCGGCCTCCATATCAACATAATACAACACTACCCACGCCTCGGCCTCCATATTAACATAATACAACACTACCCCACGCTCGGCCTCCATATTACATAATACAACACTACCCAGCCTCGCCTCCATATTAATATAATACAACACTACCCACGCCTCGGCCTCCATATTAACATAATACAACACTATCTATGCCTCGGCTTCCATATTAACATAATACAACACTACCCACGCCTCGGCTTCCATATTAACATAATACAACACTACCCACGCCTCGGCCTCCATATTAACATAATACAACAACACTACCCATGCCTCGGCCTCCATATTAACATAATACAACAACACTACCCACGCCTCGGCCTCCATATTAACATAATACAACACTACCCACGCCTCGGCCTCCATATTAACATAATACAACACTACCCACGCCTCGGCCTCCATGTCATGTGGGTTTTCGATAACGTGGATGGGTTAAAATAATCACGTAGGCTGGTAGTACGTATAATATAACGGAAAGTATGGGAAGCGCCAACAGCCGACCTGCCTCTCTCTGCTCCCTATCTTCGACTGACCCACAAGTGCCAACAGGGTGAGGGGTGTTTGAAATCCTGCTATGGTCAGCAGCAATATGGTAACAGTCAGTGATTCACGCAGACGGTTGGTAGTGAGTCATCTACTGGTACACTGGTTACTGGTAACTGGTTACTAGGAACTGGTACTACTACTGAGAGCTCGGCGACTCTAACATATGTCGTCCCGACATACAGCTACTACAAACTAGAGAGGGCAGTGTACGGCTTGGGCTGATTCTATCAATGTCAAAGTACACAACAATTGAAAAATTATAACAACATAAGTAGAATATTGGAATGGAAGCTTACATAATTGAAACTGTAATGAAACTGTAACGCATTACAAGGTATGATAAAGCACAACTCATCGGAAACTCAACATTGGGATTACAAAATAGAAGTGATAAAAAATAATTTGATCAATCGATCTGTATTCATGTGATCTACGGATTCTGAGGAAGGAATAATACAAAGAAAGAATGTTTAACAGAAAGGCAGATTCGGTGCACTCAAATCAGACTGTTAACTCTCAGAATTCGGAGAGAAGTGAACACAAAAAAAATTATTGAATATTGGTAAGTTGATACTGTAATTATTCATCTAAACGGGTTATTTACATTTAACCCCAACTCTGCTGGGGTGAAAATTGACATATGCAGAATGGGTGTCATCCTGGAGGATCAAACTTTTTGCACTGGCTAACTCATGCTGTATTTGAGGCAAATCTGAATTGGTAGTAACAAATGATACTTGAGGATTTCTCAATACCTGTCGTGAACGTAGGGAATAACGACTTTCCCGGTTAAATCGTCGGGACTGAGTTATCAGAGGTAGAGGAACAGGACCCAGGAGGATTTTTTCAGAGTCTGTCACATTATCTGGTTGGAAAAAACATTATCATCACGACTAATCATATGATCAAAGCGAGTCTTTATACTGACCAGTACTAATTCCTAACCTTATTTTTTATTGCCATTGAAGTTCAACTACTCGAAAGGCCCAAACCCAAACTTTTGATCATTTTTGGCATTGCAACGTTTTGTTAAATTTTAGTCACATAACTCTCGAACCTATTTTTGATTTGATGGCTTTGCTCATGTTTGCGACCAGTAAATTCGCGTGATTATGAAGTGTTTCAACGGATTCTTAAAAAATTTGAGCTAAGCGGTAAGAGTTGCTATGAAATCATCAGGGTTGAATTTGGTTTCGGATTAGAATATAACAACTCAAAAGGGCAAACGTTTATCTACACCGTACAATGCATAATGTGGAGTGTCACCTAAGGAAACATTGTAAGCAGAATTTATAGCACACTGCACATCAGGTATAACTTCATCCCAAGTTTCAAAGTTGGGATTGATAGTGGCTCTCAAGACATCAAGTACAGTGGACCCCTGCATAACGATTACCTCCGAATGCGACCAATTATGTAAGTGTATTTATGTAAGTGCGTTTGTACGTGTATGTTTGGGGGTCTGAAATGGACTAATCTACTTCACAATATTTCTTATGGGAACAAATTCGGTCAGTACTGGCACCTGAACATACTTCTGGAGTGAAAAAATATCGTTAACCGGGGGTCCACTGTACTTTCTTATTGGTACGTTCCGCTAACCCACTGCTGGCAGGATGATGAGGAACAATGGTGGATTTAGAGATCTTGTACAAGGTACACAATTTTTCAAGAACCTCATTACAGAATTCACCACCATTATCTGTTACTAGGGACTTAGGGGTGGTATGCCTGCAGATAATGCGTTCTTTAAACGCTTAGCTACTGTCCCCGGCAGTCTTATCTGCAATAGGAACTAACTCACAATAAATTTTGGGTAAAATGGGCTACCATAACACACAGATGTTTGTTGCCCTGGAGGGAACATTGGAAATTATTTAACAGATTTAGCGCAACTCTTTCCCACGGTTTTTGCTAGAATTGGATACACTTGGATTGGATTTTGGGCCATTAGCATTACCTTTATGTTGCATGCAGACACTACATTTCTTAACAACTCAGAAATATCAGTTGCCAAAAACGAGGGCCAAAAGTATTTCAACCTGGCTTTTTTACTGAACGATCCATACCAGGTGCGCAACACCTGGTACATCGTGAACTAGCTGTAAGGCTACATTCACTAGTGACTGTGGAATTACTAACTGGTAAACTCTTCTGCTAGGAGTACCCAACTCGGCTGTTCGAAAACAGTAATTCTTGGTTCATGACAAAGTCACTGATGGGTGCTAGTGGCTTTACAGTCGAATAAGTCCCTGGAGCAGGAATCGAATCACACCAGACCACATGGATCTGCTCGTTGAGCATTCTTTACATCTTCAGCACTAAATGGAGGGTCTGCAGTTACTATACTAACATGTCCCGATAAGGCAATCTGCGACTACAATTTGACTTGCCAGGGAAGTGTTCAAAGGTGGGATTGAACTCTTGGATAGTCAAGGTCCATCTGGCTAACCTTCCAGTAGGTTGTTTGTTCTGGAATAAAGGTATCAGTGGAGCAAAAGTCTGTCAAGACATGAACAGAGTACTGATAAATGTCTCGGAAGTGCTTTAAAGACCATACTAAATTTCTAAACTTCTTGCTCATTACTGTATAATTACATTCAGCCTTCGTAAGGACTCGGGTAGCAAATGCAACTGCGTTGTACTTGCCATCGGTCCCTTTTGAGTTAGTACGGCACCTATGCCAATAGAACTAGCATCATTTGTCAGATAGAAGGGCCTTAGAAAAATCTGGAAATTTCAAAATTGGAGCAGATGTTAGCTTTTCTTTTAGA